AATGGGAAAATAACACCTGATTTTAGAAGATAATGTATATGAATGAATAGTGCCATATGGATGGTAGGTGCCTGTATGGCAGAGTTGTAAGATGATCAAGTGGGAGGCAGGGAAACTCTCTTTAAACAAATGAATTCAGTTTAAAAGGAAAGAAAATTTGCTGTCCCACATGTCAAGAGAGGCCTTATTTCATAAAATAAAGGTAGTATTAACTCTATAAAGAGGTGGTTTAGGCATTCTTTGGGTTCGTTTGATTTTAGAACTGTCATAGAATGATTCTTGAGGGCATTAGGTAAGGGCAAAAATGGGTGGATCTTTAATTTTTCTTGTTGTTCTTAGTTTTATAACGATACTTTCAGTCAAGGTAATTATAAATAATCACAGAATTACTAAAATATAAATTTTAAAATTAATGTGTGGTTTATTCTTTCCTACTTAGTTATTATCTTTTTATAGGCAGCTTTGTGGCCTTTATTTGTGACATACAATCATTGTGAAGGTGACTTTAATCAGTAATCATGATATTATCTTGATACAGGACCAAGATAGAATAATAGAATAATTTGGTTCATTAATTTCCATACTGAATTTGGTTTGGCAAGTTGGCATGACTCATATTTAAAATTGTGAATTAGTTTTTTTAAGTGAGTGTTTTAAAAATGTGAATATCAGGGGAATACAATAAATAGAAGTCATGTTAATGTGAATTTTGTTCTAGAATTTTATAGGACAGATGACTATCTTTTCAGACCAAACTGAACCTTAAGTTAATTTTAAAACTGTATTTGAACAAGTGATTGCTAATTCCTTCTCTAAATTTATTCTTTTGGTTTGATCATATAATGTTTGTTAACTTAATTTCAAATTAGGCTGGAGGACATAGATATTTTAATTGCACTTGCTAAAAGTAATTTTTGAATTTTCTGTTGTTGGGTGAGGTGTATGTATATACTTGTTTGAAATATTCTCTCTCTCTCTCTGACACATTAATTTTTTTCTAGAATTCCTTTATGAAGTGAGTTAAAAATGGATCATTAATTATAGTAATTTTTAGTCATTCACAAATGCTACAATATTACAATAAATCATAAGGCTAATTATTAATTCATTGAGAATTTGGACTGATTGAATAAACACTTGTATTCACTAAATCAGCAGACCTCAGGGAGTTTTAGTTTCTGATTTGCCATTTGATAATGATAAGTATTGTCATTTTGTCACTGGGTTGCAAGTTTCCTCTGCTGACTTGGTCAAATTGCATGTACCTAATAACCCCAAATCCTTTGAATCGAGTTTTAACATATTTTTGTGTATGCAGTTTGACCAAGACAGCAGAGGAAATTTGTATATGTATCCTGGGATGGTTAGACTTATTTTGGCTTTCACAACCCAAATCATAGAATATTTTGAAAATAACATGGTTAATGGTTAAATACATTATTTTCTGTACTATAAAAACCTGTTTTCCACATTTTATCCTGTTTATTAACTTTATTGGAAATAAAGCTTGCTAAAGCTTTAAAGGTGTTCTAGAAAGTAAAAATTTCTCAGAACTAAAAGGCAACTATAATTTTTGTTCAACTTTGTAACCACTAGATATTTAACATATTCAGTACTTAGTATTTGGGGTTTGATACATTTTTTTTTTTTTTGGTACCAGAAATCGAACTCAGGTCCTTGTGCTTGAGCAGCAGGCGACGAAACCACTGAGCTAAATCCCCGGCCCTGGGGTTTGATACATTTTTATTGAATAAATACCTGAATTAAAAAGTCTACTTTTAAGACCCAAGAGGGAACTTATTATATTGCATGGGTTTCCATCCCTTCAAGAGAAACATAAATGTTCCACTTGCAGGACATAATTGTGCCTCTTTCTTGAGAGCCCACATTCTCTTTCTTTGAGTGTATACTTTTCACATTCTGCTGATATGTCCCTTTATGTCAGTTAATTAATTCTGGCTTTAGAATGCCTTACGTGTGGCATAGGGAACATACTAGGTTCAGATATTTTATTATAGCATACCACTACATTATATTTACATGTGTTTTCTCCTTCTTTTGATGCTTATTCCTACTTAATTTTATTTTCTGTAGTGTTTAAGAGTACTTTTTCTTCATATCTGTTGATAGAATGAAAAGTATATAAAATTACATTGTTTATTCTCAATTATGTATGTATATACAATATATATACTATATATATGTACTACATTCTACTGATCACCACTTTTAAGTGTCAGCACACTTTGAGAGTCTGCAGACTCTACTGTTAACGAAAACATTAAAATTGAAGTTGTCTACAAAAGTTCAATTGAATAAACCTACAGACAAAATTTGAATCTTTCCTTAAAACATCAGTGGAGCAGACAGTAAGTCTTTGAACTCCACAGAACAACATTTAAACAGTTTTATTGAGTGTGGTAAAACAAAGGTCATCTAAGAAGCTATAGGGTAGTAGGTTTCTGTATATTTACAGTTGTCTTTACATCTTTTAGCCAGAGGATAATTACAGAGTAAATGGAGTTTCAGAGTATACAAATGACACAGTAAGGACTCTTTAAGAATTGATAATAGTTGCCGGTAGTGCCCCATACAACATCCTCCTAGTCCGCCGCTGCCATAGACAGACACTGGAATCAGTCACCACCCCTGACAAAGATTGGACTTAAAAGTATGCTGCCTTTTTTCTGTTTTGCCTTCCTCAGCTTTGGTGCTGAGCATGTCCCCTTATTCTCTGCCTAAGCCAAAGGGTAGATAAAATGGAAAGGTGTGTTAACTTCCTCAGTGAATGCAGGATAGGCTGTGAAATGCTCACCTTCCTATCCTTTAGGTACATAATTTTAGAAGCATTGTGTGTGCTTCTCAGTTACAGGAGCACTTTCATAATGCAGCCTTGTGCTATTAACTCTTATTTCCTTGTTTTTCTAGCTACTTCCTAACTCCTGTTGCTTTGGGGTCTCTCCCACATAAACTGCTCATACTCAGATCTTTGTTTTAAGTTATACCTTCTATAGAATTTAAACTAAGTCTTACAGAAAGGAAATCTTTTTGTGTTAAACATAGCTTTTCTAAAATACATTTGATCATAGTACTTTTGTTTGAGTGGCTTGTATTTACAGCACATGTAGTAAATTTACATATTTATTTATAATATGTATATTATATAAGATGGTGGAACTGAAGCAAGTTCAAATGAAGGACCTAAAGTTGAAGATACTGATCTCAACTACAGATAAAGAAACTTTAAAACCATATTTTGCCTTATTGAACCATTTAGCATCAAATCTGATGAATAAAATCAGGAATAGTGTTGTGAACCACCATAGGTGTATGAAAGTATCATTAATCAAGACATTGCTTTAAAAACTTTATTTCCTATGGTTATATTTAGGGACTTGATAGTTACATTTACATCTGAAAGATGTTGCTAAGTGAAAGGACTTTTATTTGAGAATTTGGAAAATATTTTGTTTGCTTGGTTTCAGTGGCCAGATAATGAAAATCTGCTATATAACACATTAAGAGCCCTGAAACTACATATATATTATGACTGATGAAAGTATTGATATGTAATCCATTCCTTCAAATTAAACTTCTCATTTTTCCATGTTTAAAATTAGTGTTAAGACTGCTACCATAATCCTTTTTAACTGAACAATGTCTAGGTAAGGGTATGTTTGCACCCTAACTCTTCTTTCTTTGTCAAACTGGGGGCTAATAGTTGAGTTTCAACTCGGTACTAAAATAGCAAGTGGGACATGTTGATTGTTATATTTGAACTATTGTAGTCCACTTTCTGGTTAAAAAAAAAATTCAAGAAAAACTAATTCATTTGTCTTAAAGAGCTTCAGTGTAATTATCCTTACCTTTGGCTGTTTTATTTATATTTTTAAGTTTATTCTGTCACCAAATAATTGCCTCTGTTTGAACATGGGGCAAGACATGTCTGTGTCTAAAGACGTTGAATGAAGCCACCTTGATACTTTTTGTTGTTGTTGTTTATTCTTTACCTTTAAAGTTGTGTTAATGTCCATTATTTGGCCAAACCATTCTCCAACAGTGATGTTTCAGATTTCATATTAAATATGATTACTGTTTTAATTTTTAACCAAAATAGTAGTTGGGTAAACGATGTAGTCAGCTTATAGTTTTTATTCAGAACAGTTTGAACATAAGATCAAAACTTCAGAGAAGCTTCTATGATACTTTTAAGCAACATTTTTGCCATAGGATTATTACTTTTTAAAGTAATGTATACCTAGAGCATGTTTGAGTAAGTAAATAAAATATTTAATTCCTTGCTAATTTACATTATCATCTCAACTACCAACTCCTTTTTAATATAGGCAATTGATAAGTATGTAGTAATGGAAGAAAATAACAGCCAAAAAGCAGACTTAGTTATTTCTGCACTGTTCCTGTGAGGTCTTACTACCCAGTGGTACCTGAAAAATTAATGCTTAAATGCTCAGCTACTCTCTTTTACCAGCATGCCTTTGGTTTATGACCGTTTGACTCATTTATTTATTTAACTTACTTTTGGCTTTCTTGTTACAAGGTCTCACTATGTATTCCAGGCTGGCCTTGAACTCACTGTGTAGCCCAGACTGGCCTCAGACTTGCAGTGACCATCCTGCCTCAGCCTCTCAAGTGCTAGGATTATAAGCATGTGGCACCATGCCCGGCTTTAACTCATATTTAAAATGGAAATTATCATAAACCTACTGTTCATGAGTCTAATTCATTTCATATACACATATATATCTATATTTTATCACTTATGTTCAGCTTTATATATCTATTAAAATGAGTAAAATTGATTACTAAATTCATAATTAAAATGCTGTCTTATTTTATTCAAAGGAACTTTTAAAATATATTTAAGACTTCATCATTTTAGTTCATGATTTGTCCTACTTATTTTTAAACTATTTCAGGTTTTGCTGAAATTACACATGTTTTTAAGTTAGCTTATTCATTGTTGTCTCCATTGTTTTTAGTGGGAGATTTTGATAAGATCTGGAGAGAACACTGTGAAGATGAGGAAACACTTTGTGAATATGCTGTCGCAATGAAAAATTTGGCAGATAATCATTGGGCAAAAACTTGTGAGGGTGAAGGTCGCATTGAATGGTGTTGTAGGTGAGTGTTTTTTGGAACTAACATTTTTGGTTTCTAATGTGTTCTTTAAATTTATAAATCTAAGTAATGCTACATATAATTCATTGTACTAAAATGGTAAACTAGAAATATTTTTAAACAGATGATGCCTTTTAAATAACCTTGTTTCATTTTGCCTAGATTAATTTCATTCTTTTTTTCATCAGAATGTTTTTCTTTGACATAACTTTTAATTTTGCTTTATTTTTGAAAATGTGTTTAAATGCATTTAATACACTTAAACATTAATACATTATATACAGTGTGTGTGTGTGTGTGTGTGTGTGTGTGTGTGTGTATTTTTCAGTGCTAGAGACTGAACCTAGGGCCTCATGAATGCTAGGCAAGTGCTCTGCCATTGAACTGTATAACTCCTACCCCTAAACATTAATATATTTAAAATATGAAACATTTAATAGTTGACTTCATCCATGAGTCTTTAGATAACAAGAGTTGGAATCAAGTAAAAATGAGTAGTTAAAAATTTTAAAATATTTAAAGTATTTTTAAAACTTGAATTTGTAATGGATGATTCAAGACATTTCGGCATTTATATTGACTTTGGATGTTTATTTTCTCATGAATTCTAGTATTAAAAATATCAGAAAATGAAATACTGCTGATACTAATTCTCTTAATGATGTAAAATTGAAGATTTTTATATTGACTCAATTTAAAAATGAGTTCCTAAAAAACATGCATTATTTTTCTACCTGAACATGAAATTTGTGTTAACTTTGGGTGTAAATTTTCCATTATTTTTATTAAAATTTACTTTATTTTAAAATTAATAATGCCTATTTTATTTATTCAACAATTAATCCAGAGAAAAAAATTTTTTTCTGAGACAGCATCTCACTGTGTATCCCAGGGTGGCCTTGAACTTACAGCAGTACCCCTCCCCATTGCTGGGATTACAGGCATACACTGCTACTCTTGGCTAGAGAAAATTTTTTTAATTTAGTTCCCATGTTAGCTTCTCTCACTATAACAAGTACCTGTAATGATTAGCTTATAAAGAAAAAAGCTTTATTTTGGCTCACAGTTTTGGAGGATCCAGTTCATAGTCAGTTGGCTTCATTGCTTTTGGTTCTGTGGGAAGGTGGAAGTATGCGATAGAACAAAATTGCTCACCTTGTAGCTAGGGAGGAAGAAAGAGAAGAGACGGGGTTTTGTAGTTCTTTTTGAGGGCATGGCCCCTAAACCTAAAAATCTATCTCTATGGCCCCCTCCAAAGGTTCCATAATCTGTTGGTGGCACCTTTTTTGGCCACTAGGTTTTTAGTTCATGAGCTCTCTTAACACACTTAAGATCCAAACCATAGTAATTTTTGTATTTAGTCATTAAACAATATTTAGCAATTTTCTACTTTGTACCAGTCATGTTGTAAACACTGGAAGTACAAAATCAACCAGATATAAAAATCCTTGCTTTTCTGAAACATACACACTAGTAGGGGTGAGAGGTAAGAAACAGTACACTAATTTAGTAAATACTACTCAGATAATGGTAATTGCTGAGAGAAAAATAAAACAAGGAAAAGTAATTTCAAGTAGGATGGATAAAAAAAGTCTCACTGAAGTGATAATACACAGAAGACATGAAAAAAATACAGCAAGTCAGCCAGTCAGCCCTCACAAGTCCAGAAACCTTATGGCAGAAGCTGCTGTGCTGATTCATGGTCTGCAAAGAGACTAGTGTGGCTAGAGCAGATGAGAGGGAGAGAGTGGTAGAAAGACAGTGAACAGCTAGATTTTGTAGGATCTTTTTAACCATTGTAAAAACAGTGGCTTTTTTCTAAAACAGGAAGTCATTGGATGTTTTGACAACAGGAACGATAGGATTTTATTAATGTTTTATAATGTGGGAGGGTTAGGGGTAAGATTAGTTGTGATTTTACCTTTTTCTTTATTTTTTTGGTACTGGGGATCGAACTCAGGACCTTGCACTTGTGAGGCAGGTGGTGGAATCACTGAGCTAAATCCCCGGCCCCTCCTTTTCATTTCTAATTGCATCAAGTTGGGTCTTTTCTCTCCTTTCCTTGGTTAGATTGGCTAAAGGTTTGTCTATTTTGTTTGTTTTTTTGAAGAACCAATTCTTCTATTCATTAGTTCTTTTTTTGGGGGGGGGTCTTCAATTTTACTGATTTCTGCTCTGATCATTATAATTTCTCTCATTCACTAGCTCCAAAAAACTCCCTATAGAGTTAATAACCAAATTCAGTAATGTAGTGAGATACAAAATTCACACACAAAAATCAATAACATGTACTTAATAATGATCCCATTGAGAAAGAAATTAAAGGAAAAAAATTCATAATTACAGCAAGAAAAACTAAATACGTAGGAATTAACCAAACTAAGATAATGAAAGACCTCTAAAATGAAAACTACAGTATTTTGAAAAATAAAATTAAAGAGGACATAAATGGAAAGATGTCTCTTCTTCCTGGCAGAACCAATTTAGTTGAAATGGCCATACTTCCAAAATTGCTATACAGATTTAATGCAATCCCAATCAAAATACCAACAGCATACCTCACAGCACTAAAGAAAACAATCCTAAAATTCATATGGAACCAGAAGAGACCAGAAATAGCAAAAGCAATCCAAGATAACAAGAGCGAACTTGAAGTTATATTACAAAGGTACTGTGATTAAAAACAGTATGGTAGTGGCACAAAAACAGACATGAGGATCAGAGGAAGAGAATGTTGGGCATAGAAACAACCATAGGCACATTCAACTATTTGGTCCTTGACAAAGAGGCCAAAAACATACACCGGAGGAAACATAGTCTCTTTAATAAATGGTTTTGGGAAAACTGGCTGTACACACACAGAAGATTGAATCTAGACCCATTATCTTTCACCATGTACTAAAAGAAAATAAAAATAGATCAAAGAACTAAATGTTAGAAGAGAAACATGTAATCTGCTGGAAGGCAACATAGGTAAAACTCTTGACGTCATAGGCATGCATAAGCAAGGACTTTCTGAGCAGAACTCTGTTTGCACAGGAAATAGGACTGAGAATCAATATATGGGATCATATCAAATTAAAAAGCTTCTGCACAGCAAAAGGACCCACAGAGTGAAAGACAACCTACAGAATAAGAAAAAAATTTTGTCAGCTATTCTTTAGAGGACTAATATCTAGAATATATGAAGTACTCAAAAAAAAAAAATAGATATCCCCCCGAAATAAAAAAATGGCTAAGTGAAATGAATAGACACTTCACAGAAGAAGAAATACAAGCGACCAATAAATACATGAAAAAATGCTCAACATCACACTGGTCATTATGTTACTGGGTAGTTCCTTTAGAAATGGCTCACCAGTGAAATGTATTCCAGATCCTTCTTGCTTCACACAAAGAAGTGAATGAGACAAGCCAAAAATGGTGCCAGAAGTTTATTTGAAAAGTGAAGGGTGGAGGAGTAAGGGAGAAATACTCTGCAGAGTGAACCTGGGCCAAACAAGAGAGGAAAAGATAAAAGAAATTCCATTTGACCCACCTATTCCCCTTCTAGGTATCTTCCCAAAAGAGTTAAAGGTATTATGTTGCAGTGATACATATCCACGTTTATAGCAGCACAATTTGTAACAGCTAAATCTTGGAAGCAGCCTATATGTCCATCATCAGATGAATGGATAAAGAAATTGTGGTACTTAAACACAATAGAGTACTATGCCATAAAGAAAGATAAACTTGAGTCATTTGTAGGAAAATGGATGCGCACCTAGAGACCATAATGTTAAGTGAAATAAACACAAAGCTTAAATATCTCATGGTTTGTTATATGAGAAACAAAAGTTGTACATAAAGAGCAAATGACAGGTAATAGGAACTGGGGCAGTAGATTTTTTCAAATGGGAAGGGGATCAAGAGATGGAGTGAGGGAGAGGGAAAGGGGATTACAAAAAGGAATTAAGATGTGTCATACACAAAGGAATGTAAACATTATGCACTGCAAACACATACCCCCCACACACACAAAAGAGGAAGGGAATCAAAAGATGGGTAAGGTGGGCAGGGAGGGTAGGGAAAGGGAATGGAGAAAGGAATTAGGGTATAATATGTACATGTGCCAGTTCCCAACAAGGAATCTAAACATTCTGTACTACAAACATGTGCCAATAAAAAAATTGTCAAGATGATATAATTTTTCTTAATTTTTATATAGTAATTATTTGCCTCTTCAAATTTTATTTTTTACTAACGTTTTCTTTGTCTTCACCCATTTGGTTTGTTTTTCCTTCAAACAGATTTATAAAATTTCTGCTTATTTTAACATGGTTTATATGAAGATCTGGGGTTTTTTGGTTCTTTTTACTATGGATCATTTATCTTGCCTTATTGTGTATATGATAATTTTTTAAAATACTGGCATTGTGTTAGAAGAGGTTGTCATATATATTATTTTTCCCCAGAGAGGACCTGAGTTTTCTCACAGCCAGCTAGGATGAAAGACTGACCATTTTGTTCCTATCAGTAGTTGAGCTGGCTGAGGGCTTGACTATCTTATGTAGGTTCAATTCACTTCTGGTTTCAAATACTTTGAGAGTGTTTGAATCTTGTTCTACTATATTACAGAACTAATGCATTTGTAAAATCTTGGGATGTAAGCCCAAGAGAAGAGATCTTTTTTCTGCTTTTTAGTTCCTTTCCCAACCTTCTCATACTTGTAAATAGACCTACAGGGATAAAGGAGGGGGGAATCAGGGTGTGAATGGGGAGAATCATCTCTGTTGTGGGTTTCTTGAAGATTCTGGTCTATCATACCACTTAAACATCCTTTAAAGGCACTGTTAGTTGCCATTATAGCCCTGCAGTCCCTCTCTGTCCTAGAAGCTGCTCAGGTACCATTTCAACCATTAACCCCAATGCTCTGGTCACTTTTCATTTAGGAAAGGCTTGTCCTTCTCTGCAGTTTCATTCCTTTAGATTTCTTTCAATTTTCAGCTCTTTTGATTTCTTCT